CGGCCATCATGGCCAAAGCCCAGAGCTGAGCAACAACCACGCTGTTCAAGTAACGGGTGGCACCATTGGATCGAAGTTTCGTCTGGCGAATCCAAAGGATTATCTTTTCAGCCGTTGTCACAGGATCACCGTAAGTGGCGACCGTTGCAGGCCCGTAGACCGGATGCGAACCAGAACGAGCTGAGTAATCCCGTTCTCCATAACTCTCTGGATAAGGTCGTAGAGCTCGTTGGCTTCGGCGGATCGAAGCGAAATCACGAGTTTGCATGGCACGGCCTTCATGGCATCTTGCGGAAGTATATCTTGCTTCAATGATCTCAGGGCTGCAAAACGATGCACCAAATGAGGATTGGCATTCAAGGCCTGAAGCCGCTATAGGATTGTGATCATCTCTTTGGAGCTTATGGCCTCCTGCTTGGTCAGCTTGAGGGTCATGGCTTTGGCGTCCTAGGCCAAGTATTGCCATTGGAGTTCCGGTATGATCATTCCTTTCGTGATTAAGGAAATCATCAGAGCGTCGTCCTTCCGATCGAATTGGAGTTTGCCCTCCCTCGTGCCCAATTCCTGGATGAAGGTCTGGAAAAGGGCTTGTTTGAGAGACTGAATGGCTTCTCCGGCTTGTTTCGAAAGGTTCTAAAGCCTGGATTTTCCCAACATTAACGGCGTCAAGTTGCCCCTGCTACATTGAGCAAACAGGAGAAAGAATCTGTGCAAGTTCACGGCATTGAGCTGGTCTTCGCGTCGAAGACAGAGTCGGGTCGTCATATTTAAAAAATATGTGGAGCGACCAGAGCTTGTCGACCCAGAATCCCAAGAATCTGAATGGTTCCTGTGCTGTGCCCGGGCATTGGGTTTGCGTCTACCTGATAGGGATTTGGTCCGGGGTCGCTTTTGGATTGTTCGCCATAAGCGGCCAACAGGTCCGTATACGATTGGTCCTCGGCCGTCATCTCCAGGTCTTCCGTCATGGTTCAAGGCTAAATGATCGTTCCACAAGGTCTAATCGGGATAGAGCCGAAACTGAATTGGTCAAAAGATCAATTAATATGGCATGTTGAATTCATTCAATTTCATATACGACATACCCCGTCCTAGCTGGAAAGCTAAATTTATTTGAGGTCCAAGCCCAATGCACAGGAACAAAGTGTTCAAGATCGGCAAGGAATTGGAATACTTGGTCAGCCGTGAGACAGGTGTGCGGCAGTTCGCAAACATGTGCACTCCATCGTATTGATGTCACGTACCATCGGACATGGTGCTCAGGTGCAAAGGATAGCGTTTTGCGCAAACACTGAATGATCAAGAGGTTAGGAGTCCATAATAGTCCATGCAATTGGCATTCATCTGTCCGTGGAAATGCTTCGAAGGGCATCAATCCACAAGGGATGGCAATGGAATCAGATCTCATGGATATCCTGGCATCTGGCACCTGATGGCAAGATTCGATTAATGAATCGATCGATCCGAAATATTGGCTCGAAAGCCAGCGGCAGAACAACACCGGACAGCATGCTCTACGAAAATGGGTCTGTAAGGCAAAATCCATCGTAAACACGCTGTAGCAGTGCTTGCATGCAAGTTCCCCGGGGAGTTGGTCATGTTCAGGCTCAAAAGGAAATGCGGAGGAACGATCAACCTGATGTTCTTTCCTGGCATGTGCACATAAAGCCTTGCGTCCAACCTGTATATGACAAATCGGACAAATATATGTCTTGGCCGCTGCAGCATGTTCAGTGGCAGGCAAGTCTAATATATCTCTGTTTTTAATGGTTATGGGGGCCTTCGAACGGAACGAAGCGGCGGACTTGGCTTTAATGATCACAACAATATCTGGTCGATTCTTCTGCAAACACTTGGGCAGGTGTTGATCAAACCCTTGTTTGATGAGGAAGCTTGTATGGTTGTTCCAGACAAGGCATTGTGGTTGTTCCAGCAGGTTCAATTGGGTCTATCTCCATTGGAGCTGGTGCATCCAAATTATGTAGCTGGGCAACGGACGAATCAGCATTCAGGTCGAGTGGCATGTCAGTTGCGTGCGATGAAGGCTGGGCCTTCATCATGACTGGCATGCAGGGAAAATGTGTTGGATCATAGGTTTCGTCCATGAGGACGTTGATTTGAATCAGGATTCCACATTCATGGGTACGAATATCCTTGCAGGCGGAAATGCAAAGAATACAGCGGCTCTATCCACTACCTAGATTAGCAAGACCACGGACTTGGTCACGACAATGTGGTTCATATACCAATAAGTGTGGATGTGCATCTTTGTAGTGCTTATGAATGGCACGGCTTGAAATGGCACAATGACAATATATACAGTGCTGATTGAATTCTGGGATCAAGGCCTTGTTGAATAGAAGGCTAGGCACTGAACGATAGCGCAAATGCATGCTCAGATCCGGTCTGTTGCTGATCGGGACGATGCTATCCTTGGCCGGATCAAAGTGCATGCAAATACGACGATTTATGTAATCACAGATGATATATATCTGTGAAGGACTTAGTGCAGTGAGCACATATTGGATATCCATTAATTACATTACGAAACACATCAAACAAATCTTCAATATTGCATGGGATGCCATGATGCGTTCTCATGTGGCATTTCCATGATCCCGCCTGCAAAAAGGTCCTGTCCCACTTAGGACATCTGAGGATCCCAACCTGTGCACATGGATCAATTTCAGGGGAGGGTTGTGGAATGGTGCAAATTGCATAATCTGGGGTCATGATTGCAATATCATCAATTGATGCGTGTATGGCTTCGATCTGAAGTTGGGACTTGGCGTGGCTCAGATTAAAGAGGAATTTATATAATGTTTTTGCAACATGGTCCATGGTGGATCAATATGAAGTCTGGCAAAAAACAAGCTCGTGTTTTCTCGAGTCAGATGAACAGGCGAACGGGCCATGGATCAATGATGATGATTGATCATGTTAATCAATTGTTGTGCTCCCCGGTGAATAAACCCCATCTCGAAAATTCCGTAGGTGACGGTGGCATAGACACATTGACGATACAAGGGTAATCTGAGATGCAAAGGATGATGCCTGTCCATGAGCCGCCTGCGGAGGATACGAAAGCATGTCTACGCAGCTTTGATGCGTCGTTGAACAATATCATTTTCCCAGGCTCTGTAGCTAAGAATGACTCCTAAATACGACATTTTGCTGACAAACGGAATCTGACCATTATGATCCGGCAAGTGCAACAACCGTCCACTGGAGGGTCGTGAATATCATTTATGATGAAAGGACAACACTTAATTCCCTACCAATCTCATGATCGCAATACTCTTTTGAGTGTTGACTCTGAATCTTGCTGCACACAAGTCACAGAGTAGCGTGACAAGATCTTGGAGTGCAACAAGTGCAATGAATCAGGAATGCATAATCTATTTGAAATATAAGTCATCAGCAAATACAACAATGTGATCACGAATCCAATCCATGGAATGGATATCCAAAAGACGATGCAAGACGTGATATATACAGATCGTCCAGAGGAGAGGTGCATTCCTAGTTCCTATCCATAAGGTCTTTATGCGGAATTCTAATTTTTCCTGTGAAACATCAAAGCCTCGGCGCATGTTCATCTCCACGTGTTTCCATGGAGTAGTTTTCAACTAGCAAACAAAGTCTGAAGTCACCTAGTAAAAACCACAGACCCCGCCTCTAAGCAAGGAACTTTGTGTGCCTTTCTCAGACGTGGTTTCTAGTTCTACTGCCTCGACACTGTTTCATGAAAACAGCCATGGGAAAAGGCCGTCGAAGCAACTGCTGTAGCATGAAGGAAGCTACCGTTCTTGGAACACTACAACTTACCTTTGGTAAGGAGATGTATGTGAGGATACACTCACTGCAATCACCCAACCAAGCTATGTCTGCGACATCCATGAATTGGGTGCATATATTTAGAAATTCGTGCTCCAAACATGTTGAAGTGAAATTCTTGCCACTCTCATTTTCTTCTTTCACTCACTCTTTTCACAAGACCTTAAGCCTCTTAGCAAAGTCACTCTCCATTCTCGCAAGGCCACAGGCCTCATAGCAAAGATCACTTGCTCTTCTTTCAAGGCTACCAGCCTTATAGCAAAGATTACGGCGTGTACATCAAAGCATCATCGTCACTCGAATCTGGCTCATCTCCTGGAAGAGCTCTAGCTCGTCGACTCGCCAACAAAAGTCGTTCCTCCAACCAATGCTCTGGTACACCATTTGAAGAACTAGGTGCAGCAGCTGAAGTTGAAAGAAAACGTCTTCTCAAACTTGCCCGATTCTCATCATCCTCTTCATCGGCTTCTGGTACAGGATCGATTGCACCTATATCATCAGCAACACCACGTACTGAGGATCGAGGAATATTTGCAATCTCTCTTTGTGATCCAACGACTGGATTGGTGAAAGAAAGCAAAGTTTGTCCACGTAGCTCGAAGTAACTTTCACCGGGTTGAGCCAAATAAGAAAATCCTTCGCAGAAGCATCGATAGCGATCTCGATGTCCACCATCAAAAGCTCCTTGCAATGTCACCCACATCACACCTGGCGCTTCAGGCATGATCTCTATAGCATCATTCAAAGTGGGAAAAGCTGGATAGTTTTCACGTACAAATCGATCAGGATCTTCGGATTATGAAATAGTACTTCCCACTCCATCATCAGATTCACTATTGTGTCCTCTGAGAGCGTCTTGCATTTGCAAAGCCAATTCAATGTGTCGGGTCAATTCCGGCTCAGAAAAGAATTCCCCTTCTATTTGCACATAGTTATCTTTTGCGATCACATCTTTTGCTCCAAAGAAAAGTCCATATATCCAGGAACTCACAGCTCTGCAATTCACACATAGCCATATTCCAAATAGGATGCTCATGAAGCTCACGATGAATAAAAACACATGTGCTGGGCTCAATTTCGAACGATTCACATCCCTGAAGGCACATTGCTACAAGGCTAAGTGCAATCATGTGCTTTCTCGGCTTGTGGCGATCCTTCTGCACTCACATTACGCCAAGCAGCACAAACAAGGAAATTGCACAAACCAAGGCAGGAAAACTCTCATCGATTAAATGATTTGAACTGGGCTCAAATTCAAATCCACAAGCGAAGTGAAAGGAAGAGCTCAACACCATGATCCCCATGACCTTCTTGGACATGCTCATTGCTGGTGTGCTAGTGGCTCGAAAACCTGGACCGTACATGTCCTGATACTCGTCGGATTCACAAATCACTCTCGAAATGTCTTTCAATTGCTGTTTGACCACAAGTTGTGCATTCTTTCGAAGGAATGCTGATTCACCAACTCGCTCTTTTCCACAAACATAACCAAGCATATAAAGAAGTGAGAGATGTCGATCTCGTGCATGAGTCTTAGTATTCAAATCTGCTATGTTGGCATGTGTGTTCACATAACGAATCTCAATCTCACGCTGAGACACTTTCTGCTGAAGCCAAAGCAATCGTCCCTTGATGTGCTTGAGACGACTCACACCCATCTTTTGAGAAAGCATTCTCACGGCCGAATTGTCCACGTGACAAATCAAAGCATCTACGGGACACAAAAACTCTAGGATGTGCTTCAAACAGAGTGCATCACTGGTTGCTGACGAAAGAGCATACCATTCACTTTCAGTACTGCTCAAACTAATGCACTTTTGTGATCTGGATGAGGAAAACATCACTTGACCATTGATGCAATGAATGGCCGAAGAAGTTGATTTCATGTCACCCGTTGAACTCCAATCAGCATCTGAAAACACTTCTATGCAAATGCTTTCTTTGACATCCGGGTTGATTTCATGGTATTTCTCCATGAATTGTTGTCCACAAACCGTTGGCCACATGCAAAGACACATGTCTTCAGTGCCTTTGACATATCCTACTAGACGTTCCAGTGTTTTCCATGCTCCTTGTGTGGGCTCCTTCAGATAGCTTGCTAGGCTTTTGACACTGTGCTGTAGATCGTATCGTTCTTGGCTCAAATACATTGCTAGACCTACGAGCGATCTAAAGTCAGCAGCCCGATCGGCATCAAGCAAGGTGTTGTCAAGGTGTGGCGCGCATGCTGCTGAGGAAGGTGTCTTGGAGATTTGTGGTGGTCGTCCATTGATTTCGCTCAAGCGTTCAAAGAGTGCGCGTGCATGTTTGCGCTCAGGAAAAATCTTCAAACTTGCATATCCTGGTTCAAACACATGAAGACGTTTCAAGAACTCAAAACTTCCACCATCTCGCCTTGGCACATATTGGCAGCTCATCTTGAACTCGCTCTTCAAGGCAGGAATCATCACTGAGGATATCCACTGCTCATTGCCATAAAAGAGAACATCGTCAACGTGCAAAAGAAGAACTGCGTTGTTGCCACATTTCACCAATGCAGGTTGCTCTAAACAGACTGTTGCACCAAGCAAACGCTTCAAAGCATCGGTGAAAAACAAGTACCACAACTTGGCAGCATCCCGTTGTCCGGGAAGGCACTTGAGGATGACAAAGGACAGCTCTGTTCCTTGCACTCGAACAATTCTGGGTTTAAGTTGTGGGACCTGCAAATATGCATCTGTGATGTCCAATGAACCAAGACATCCACCTGGCACAAACGAATTGCTCATGGCCAAGCATGGTAGTAGCTTCACTACGTTGGTTGTTGAAGATGGTGAATAGACATCAGTCCTATACTCCATGAAGTTGAACTCACGTGCGCAAAGTCGTGATCTCCTGAGATACATAGAAACTCCATCCAGCGTCTTTTTCCTCCAAGTTCGCACAAATTTCGCACTGAGACTGGTGTCTAGTTCTCCTGAAAATCCATTTGAATCCTGCAATACATTCATGTTTTTCAATCTCTGAACTTCAACTTTGTTTGCAATCTCATCCAGGTATGACATCTGCTGTTCACTAAGCTGAGGTTCTGACTCCGAAAAGGGATACCACAATTCAGATGAATCCACTTCCCATTTCTCTTCTGAGCTGCTGCTCTCCTGGAAATGTTGTGCATACACATCGTAGTTCTCCTGGTCAAAGTTGCTTGAACCAATCACCTCCAAGTCAGCAGATTTCAACAAAGAAGAGTTCATAAAAGGTTCAAACAACTCTTCATCTTCATGGGGAAGATCCTCCTCTGCTCGGCGACTTCTCAACCACTTTGCATCCGGTTCCTCCAACAGATCAGGTATTGGATGAGTGGATGCACCTGACATTTCTGCGTCCACGCGTTCCAAGTTCGGTGTGAAAGCTGCAGGAAGCAATGGTCTACTAGGTGCAGGACTCACTGGTTGATTTGCCAAAGGATCAATCTCCTCAGGATCCTTCTGTTGCTTGTCTTTCAATTCCCCACGTTGTTCACCCATTCTTGGGGGTGTCATGAGGAGATTCTCAGGTTCTTCCGGGTCAGAGTCTGGATCTGTTGCGGCCTCATCTGCAAGCAATGCCGTAGGAGGTCCACTCTTGTTTCTGATTGGTTTGGTAAGTTCCATACGAGCTCCAAATGTTCCTTCCATCTGCCAGGTTGGAGTTTGCAGCAAGGAATACAAAGCCATATGTTCCTTCCAATCACATTTGATCATCTTCACTGCTCGTGTCAATCTGAGGTTACCACCGATGGAGACAATGTTCATGTCGTTCACGTTTGATTTGGACAGAAACAAAGCTTTCGTCCAGCGGGGATCACCTTTTTGTTTGATCACATCACCAATGTAAGCATAAACCGGACTGCCAAATTCACAGAGTTTGCCATGATAGTTGTGTCCAGTGATGAGTCATATGTTGTAGCGTTGCCACGCACCACAAAACGATTCATCAACCAATTGCGATGCAACAGGCTCCAACTGAACAAGGGATGAGAAGGTTTGATAACCAACCCAAATTTGGCATGAAGATGATGCAAAAGCACGTTGGCTGTTTGTCTGATGCGGTGCACTGCTCCTTCAACCCAACTGTTGTCTGCATGATCACGAATGGCTGGGTTCTCTACAACACACCGATGTCGATATGAAGCTTTGGCCATCCTCTGTACTGCAATCATGGTTGGCTCATTGTCACAACGGAGCGTGATGTCCTCATGACCCAAAAAGGAAATGAATCGCGAAATCTCCTTCGCCATACACTTGGTCTCACTCTTGCTACCAACTGGAATGCAGTGAATTGCTCCCGAAAAAGAATCGAAAACAGCTAATGCTACTTGCTTGTCCTGGTCGGCTTCTCCATCATCTCCTGTGGAACGACCTGTGTAAAACAAGTCGAAGGAGATATAAGGCATTGACCGCTGTGCTAAATGTGAAGCGTCCCCACTGTGTTGATCAGGTCTACCTTTGGCGCTCAAACAAGCAGGACACCAACTTGCATATGATGTATGTGTCAAATTATGAGCAGCAATCACCTCTGGTGAAGGGCTTTCCACTGATTGAGCTGAGACTGGAACTCGAATTGCATCTGTTAAGCTCTGCGCTGCAATCTCTTGGTTTGCCAAAATCTGCTCTGATTGCAACTTGCTGATGATTCTTTGCCACAACTTGGCTTTTGATCCCGACTCTGAAATGCGCAGAAACTTGCATGCTGCTCGAAGCACTTTGATTGTTGAGGTTTCTATGATATTCATTCCATTGATGATCACCGATTTGTCAAGCTGTAACAAAACAGGATCTTCTGCACTTTTCTCTTCTTTCGTTTTGTCTCCTTCTGAAGCCCCGCCTGCTGAATGCTCTGCCGCCCCGCCTGTTGAATGCTTGGCGGCCTTCTGCTCCGCGTTTTGATATTGTCTCAGGGCTCCGATTTTGGTGCGTTTCAGACTTGGAAGAAGAAGACGTCGGCTCTTCAACAAGACTTGGTTCACGTAGTCCTAGTCCAAGTTGTTCAACGCTCAAAATGTCTTTGGTGAGAAGAGTCAAAGCTGATATCCATTTTATTCCCATCAATGCTGAACGATTGCCTATCTTGTCTAACTTGGCGCAGCACTCAATCATGTTTCAACCGTCTCGTTCACAAAATACAAGTGTGGTACGATAAGGCCAGTCAGTCAATGAATACTCAGGCACTGGGTCAACGTGGATCTGAGCTCTCGACATGCAAAGCGGTTGACCCTTCACTGTACTGGTCCAGCCCAAAGGCAGGAAACGCCAAGTTGAAGGAATGTCAACTGGAATGCAAGTGACTTTTTGATAGATTGCTCTCACTCGACCATGCACTATCAGCGAATTGTGTTTGAAGCTCACTGGGATCCGGGCTCCACAGCTGTGTGAGAGAAAGTTGCCATCCAATTCGTTCGATATGTTCCATCCATTCTTCAACAACTTGCCATATGAGATCAAAGGCATGTCGATCTTGTCACTTACATGACATCTTTCTCGCACGACAACCTCTGCTCCATCAACTGCAGTAAAAACGAGTTCAATGTCACGAACCCCTTGAGTCCTGATAGGGCCACCTTGTGCGTCACGTAGTTGAGACTCCTGAACAGGTGCAAGCCATCCACAATGCTGCAAACCTGAAGGGATCAAAGTTGCATCTGAACCTGAATCCAATACAATCTCATGAAGTTCATTGCAAGTGTCCACTCGAGCACAAACAGTCTCAGATGAAACAGTGAGAACTCTGCACCACTCCTCAAAATGAACATGTCTTCGTACTTGAGGCTTCGACTCCAGGTCACCACGTGCAAAGTGAAATCCAGAACGCTCTGACTCGCACTCATACTCATGCAAAGAAAACAGGTCAAATGACAGCTTCTCGCAATGATCTTCATCATCCAAACATTGAAGTGAAGAAAGAGTGTACCATTCAGTTCCAGGCTCACTGCACGGCATCTGCATAGTCTTCTGGAAGAAGTGGTCGAAATCACCTGACAAAGATGCATCTGAAGTGATCGAACATGAAGCCAAATCATCACTCTCTTGAAAAATTGCACGAACATTGGACATTTCTTCGAAGGAGTCAAAAGACAGGTCAAAGAAGTAAGAAGGTGCAGCTGTACTGGTGCGCTCAATCGAAATGTCATTGATGTTGTTGATGTGCTCCACGCGGTTCACACGTTGTGTTGTGGCAGGCTCACTGTGTGCATCTGGGGATGTAGCTGTTGTGAAATCATTTCCTTGATCATCAACTCGTCGAACCTTGTCTTTGTTCCAGCAATCACGAGCAGAATGGCCAAATCGGCCACAAATGTTGCAAGTGTCTTGACGTTGCTGAGACTTACCTCCACCTTTGTCTTTGCTCTTGCCTTTGCCTTTGCCAAATGCTTTGCCACTCTGTTGAGAATAGCTCGAGGTCGAAGTCTGACCTTTTCCTTTGCCTTTCTGATTCTGCTGCTGGTAGGTATAGTTGTTCTTGCCCTTGCCTTTGTCCTTGCTTTTGCCTTTACCTTTCTGCTTACCTTTGTCTTTGCCTTTGCTGATTCGGTCGACATCCATGGGCCCTGAAGTATCGACGACTTGTCCACTAGGTAGTTCAGAACCCAAAGCCATACTGTTGCTCCAGCGAATGGTCGATTGATCATACCTCACAATCTGCTCTCTAAGCTCGTCGTATGATGTGGAGTCAGTCAAAGAGACGTTGAGGTACGTGCGCAACTGACCAGACACACAACGCAGAAGTGTAGCAAATTTCAGTTCTGCAGAAAGTCTTCCTCCAATGCGTTCATATTCCCTAAAGGAATCTTCCAACTTTAGGATCTGGGGGAGCAAAGAGCCACGCATGTCGAAACTTGGCCACTGCATCAAAAGGTTCAACAATCCTAATGAGCGGTTGCGGCTGGAAGGAAGGCACGACAAAAACAATTGACGAATTGCTTCAAAGCCATTTTGTTTTTGAATACCTTTCAAAAGCATGAGAGGCCGTCCGCGAAGAAGAGATGCTAACAAACCAAACAACTGAACCGATCGTCGAACAGTCTCGGGTGATGATGAAGACATATCCACTTCCGTTTTCAAATTACTCTTCACGGTCTCAAGCTCTGTGAGGAAGTTTTGATCGATGGCCAGGAGATATTGCTCAACTTGCCACCACCAGTCGCGGAAGCCTGAAAGTTCTGCTTCTCGGTTGGATGGTTCGAACACTGGGGGTTTCTGTATGATTTTGGTCCAGTCTTGCGATGAACCTTGTCGAGCTTGCACGGCAGCAGCCGTTGCTTTGGCAGCTTCCGAAGCAGCTTCAGCTGCTTGGGTCATTCTGGCCACCAACTCTGTCACATTCAACTGTCCAGCGCCTTGCTGAGCCATGGCATCTAGGAACTAATCTAAGAAGCACAAGCTAAGCGGCACTGATAGCGCTATTGCCCCCTTCGGACGCTACCGGTCCCTTGTCGACCAGGTAGCTCCGCTACCATCTAACTTTTCCTGCGAACCATCAAAGCCTCGGCGTATGTTCATCTCCACGTGTTTCCATGGAGTAGTTTTCAACTAGCAAACAAGGTCTGAAGTCACCTAGTAAAAACCACAGAGGAATGCAATGTTCATGTGGCATCATCCATGCATGAACAAGCTGAAGGTTGTTGTCAATCTCAAAAAATTCAAGGGATCGAAGGACATGATTTCGATTGACAACGTCAAAAATTTTTTCTAAGTCCAATGAAATCTGAAGCCCTCCCCACAAGCCGTGGGGCGCAGGATCCTTGGCATGATGATTGCAAAGCTCTCTCATTTGGCGGCAATGATCTACCACGATCAGGAACAATCCTTGGTTCCACGTGCAGGCAGGTATGCATATAATGGCATGCTACGAAATTTTGGAAATGGGGGTTCCTGAAGCTATTGACAATGACTACCAATGAGAATTTTGTTTTTGGGATGTTGCAAGCAGATGGGTCTGAGGGCTTCGGGTTTATTGGGGTTTTTATTTGGTTTGCAAAGCAAATCAATCCAACCAATGGTCCAGCGTTCAGGGGGTTCACAATAAATCTGACCAAAAAAACGTGTGATATCTCGATGTAAAATTGGCGTGAGCTTTGATGCAAAGTGCTTCCAAACAAAATAGGGATACCATTAGGCGCCAAGGCTTTGGTCAACGGCAGCTATCGAAGCTGATTCGTGAATTCAGCCTCAGTGAAAGGCATGTGAGTGAGTCCAGGTGGGGCTGCATGATGAAAGGACGGATTATGATCACGAAAGGTAGCCTGGTAAGGACTACCTTGAGTTGCTTTGCGAAGCAAAGGGACTGGCTTGAGAGCTTGCTCGGGACTAAAGATTGGTAGATCAATGTCTAACACCCCCATCCCCCCCCCTCCCCCCCCTTCCCATGTGATGAATCATTGATAAATCAATTGATTCGACCCCTCCCCCCCCCTCCCCTCCACTCCCCTCCCCGTCCCCTCCCCTCGTCGCCAGCACTACTAGCATTCTGGACATAAGGTGAAATCATGCGCTTAGCAGTCACAGGAGTACGACGCTGGCCATGAGGTTGCGCAATACAGCACGAACCCTGCACAATGAGGTCGCGCAATGCGACTTCGATGCCGCGCGTGCGCACCCGGCAGCCTGACACAGCGCGTACTGCGTTCACAGACCGTATTGCTCGACACCAACGAACATCGATGCAACACAGCCTCTCTGCAAAGCCCTATGGAGAAACCCCTCGCGTCGCGGAACACCATTCGACTCATTCTTATACCCTAGCGTGGCGAAATCTCACCGCATCGTGGAGCACACCCGCCATAGCGTGACATCCATCCCTGGCATCACCGGCCGCACCCCTCCAGCACTATCCTTACAAGGGTTGGTCACTGAGTCACGGCTTCGACGCAACGCGTGCAGGTCTGCAATCCTGACACAATGCGTGCAGCTGTGGGACCATAGCTGGTACACATCCGAGCGTTCACGCATTGCGACTTTTACACGCGCCTGTTTTCAAACACCTAGACACAAACGAGCGTCGACGCAACGCAGCCTCTCTACAGAGCCGTGTGGCGCAATCTGACCGCAACGGTGTCCCTCTTGAGCCTTCTTGTGCTCTCTGGCTTTGTTGGTTTCATCCATGATTGACCAAGGGGCACGTTCCTGAAACACCAGAGAAAGTCCCTCACCAGAAATGGTCCCGACAGCTACCCGGTCTGTCTCTACCTTTCGTATTTCCCCGCTCAAATACAATTCTCCAAAGTACGATTCAATCCTTTCCAATTCAGCTTGGGGGAGCAAGGGCGTTCCGTGCATGTCAAACATTGGAATTCGCTGTCTGGGTTGTTTGGGGCGCAGGCTCCGAATACGTCGATGCCAATCAAAGAGCTTATTTCGGAAGACCAATTCAGCACTTTCCTACATGAAAATCTCAAGCCGATTACATTTGTTAATCTTATTATATTTACGAATACGTATATGTAACAATTGAAAATAAATGACAAAAGCCCATGATCGGAAGCATTATTTCAATGTACATGAAGTATACAGCTGCACTTAATATCGAGCGGACCACATTTAAGAGGTAATCGAACCAAGCGAATGTAGGACATGGACCGATCGATGTCCTCTAGGAAAATGATCAATTTACAATTGTCGAAATTAAAATTCAAGACTATGAACCGTGGTGTCAACTCGCGAACAAGCATCAATATGTGGGCGGATGAGGTCCCGTGCAGCTCGATCAAATTACTCCCGTAAGCCTGACGACGGCGAAATCTATCAATGGGAAAAGGATTGGTATTACGTGTCGGCGTAACAAACTATCGCGGCAAAGAAATGTTAAGTGGTCTACGCATAGGACCTAAAAGGCCTACGGTACGTTCAAAGTGGCAATGAATAATAAGATTAAATTGTTTCCATCGGAGCTAATATTCTCTTATGAATGTGTAATCAATGCGAGAAGCATGTGTACCATGTATAAAAATGTATTAAAAGGCTTGCCTACAATGTAATACAACAAAACGAAGCTCAATAATTAAATCTTGAAGTATAGTCCGATCACTTTAAGAGGCCTAGTCAAATTTCTTGTTAGGTGTATATATATACGGTTTAGCCTCGTGCAGTGGAGTATTAAAATTTCCAGCCATCAACAACATATAGCTCTTGGGAATATGTCGAATGTCGAATCCCATCAGCCAAAAAATCCCAAATACGTTAGCGATCAATAAGGAAATTATATTTTGTTCGAGCGAATATCCAAACATATTAATATACCCAAAAAAATCATAAACCCTATATAATTTCAAACATAAATGTAAAAATCTACCAAGAATTATTACATAAAATACAATCTATTCAAAATTAATAATAATTCTATGGATCATCAACAATTACAAAGTCTAAAATAGGCATTATAAATATATATCCATTAAGGTATAGAAAAATTATTTGCAAAAATTACCTAGATCCGAAAAAAAGATATTTTGTTTTTTCTGTTTCGCCAAAAAACATAACGTAAAAATATACAACAAATTCACGAAAGAAAACATAACACCAAAATAACGCAGAAACGACAAAAAACAACGCAAAAATAACAAAAATCGACACCAAAATTGTTTATTGTGTGGGTTTTTTGAGTTTCGCCTAAAAATTGACCTCACCAGAAAAAATGTCTTTTGCGGGATCTAGGCATTTATTATTTCAAATTTAATTATAATAAACCAAATATCGTAAATTATCGCGAATATATTTATTCCACCCCTTTTTGTATATTACAAAAATTCAATTTTAATGAAATGAATATTTCAAATTGAATTATTGATGTAAAGCAGGCCGAAGTAAGCCCTCAAATATCAAGCTCACAATGACGCAAGCTGGAGACCTCCTGAAATGCTGCAAACCTGATCGCCACCGATGCATGTCAAGCCGATGCATGTCGACCTTCACTTTTCCCAAGGTGCCAAGCCCAAAGCCTCCAAATACAATACACTCGGTCTTTTTCACACTTCCACCCCATGCATATTGAAGAATCTATGTTTTGAGCCCAACACTCTACCAAAACACACAATGCCACACCGTACAAAACAGTAGATCTTTGGTGGACACTTCACCCCTGTTGTGCCGAACATTGAATAGTACCATTCATTTTTGATTCAGCTATGGACACTTTAAATATTGGAACAATCCCAGCATCGAAGCAGCCTGGTTCCATTGACTGGCTGTTCGTTCCTCAGGGAAGCTGTGTAGGCTTCAGAAACGGTGCGAGAAGAAGCCTTTAAAATGGAATCCTCCAGAAACGGCACAGCGAAGCCGGTCGAATCCAATGGATTTGGGTTCCTCGGTCGAATCGCCTATTTGAGCAGCTTGACAGGCCACAACATGAATTGCCGAGGAGCCCAAGTTGCGGACCAAACAAATGTGGCCTACATAGCAGGTCTGCTCGTCAAGTTGCGGCCTCCAAGCCTTAAGCATCCTTAACCATTGCGAGTCCATCTTGAGACATCATTGATGGAACTGTGCGGTGGGGTTTGAGGTAACTGAACAACAAGCAGCATATATGAAAACAGTTTCGCAACTTGATCTTCAAGTCTAAAATGATTCTGTACGAAAATTGCAGAAGTTTCACACCTTCCCAGCATGGGTAGGGAGTTCTCAGATGTGCTTCTCGTGTTTATGGACCATGTGAGCCATGTGGTTGGACTTGTCCAAGACCTTCCGATTGTTCCTGAAGCGCTGCAAGTGTGTCGGCCGCTCTTGGGAAGGAGCCATCTGCTCTTGCCTTGCTCGTGCTGCGGGTGGTGTGTGCGGTCCCATGCATGAAGTGGTCCATGAAAACAATATTGTAACCTACTTGTCTCACACACGAATGTTAGAACTCCAGTGAGAAGTAGTTCCAGTTTTCCTCCAAAAACAGAAAACACTTGATTTTCTAGCTTGATGAAGCTGCGGTGTCTGCTTTTCCTCCTTTGTCCATTGCTTGACCAAGCCCTGCTCAGGCGTTTGTACCAAAGGTCTGGACTTGGTGGAAGGCCTGGACGGAAGATCAAAGAGATGGAACATGAGTGCCATCCAAATCCCGCACATAGCACCGGCCACGCTGCCCATCACCAGCACATCCAAGCAATAGCCCACACATGATCCGACAAGAAGACCCATGGACACATAGATGGCCTTCTTCAATGCCATGGCTGCGAGGCTGCGCACAACTCTGACGGAGTTCTCGACCCAGGGAAGCGAAGGGAGAACAAATGAAAGCAGTTCAAGGTGCATCACGCTGTCATATGACGAAACTTGTTTGCCCACACTTCCTTTCACACTATCAACTTTGAGCCACCATGTCAAAGTGATCAAATTCTGGGGAAGGCGGTCATACACATCCTACATCACATGCATGCAACATGCTTGCAACCTAGCCAACCAAAATACATCAAAATATACATTCTCCAAACCCACCCTCTGTGAGCGCCAAGGCCGCCAATCCTGCAAGACTTCCAAACTTGATGGACTGTAGCGTCCGCAAAATTTGT